GTGCTTATCCCTACAGTATTGCACTGAGCCAGAAAGGAAGATAAATAACTTGTCTGAAATCCCACATTAATTTCCCTCTTTTACAGGTTTTATGCTTGTTCATTTCCTTTTCCAAAACATTGCTTTTAAAATTATTATTATAAAACAGGTGACTTAGCTGCAAATGCGCGAGACCAATTTGTGTGTGATTGGAATTACGCAGAGGCAATGCTCTGTGCTCGCGCAGAGCCTTTCACCCCACTGCAAACCACCGGGGAACAGGGTGCAGCAGCAGGGAAACGCCGCTGCCTTGCCGCAGGGTTCGGCAGACCAGCGAGCAGAGCAACCGGCGGGCGAGGAAGCGAGGACTGAAATCGATTACCTGGAAGTTTCTCTGAAGAAACTTCATTACTCTCTGTGGCTGGAAAACCTCGTTTGCGGCTCTTAGGTGTGCAAAGAGGGAAGAATCAACTTTGTCGTTCGCTGCTCAGTACTTCTTATTTGGGATCTCAGCAGAAATCCCTCCCCAAAAGACCCTTCTTGTTTTATTTCCACATTTTCATTCTGGGCAGGATGCGATGATGTTGCTGCTCCCGTGAAAATGAAATGAGCAGTAAAATCAAACGTGCTGCAAACCGCCCAGAGATGGGTCCAGATCCCCTGTGCGTGGGGAGCTCGTAGGTCGTCCCGAGGTGTTGGCGTACCCGTTGTTTGGAAGAACAGACGGAGCCGCTCAGCACGGTCATGCTCCTCGTGGAAGTGCAAGGGTGGTGCCAGCACTCATCTCAACTAGTAAGGAGAACAGTCTCTTGAAACAGCACTGACTTCTTTGCTTATTTACCCCTGATGTGCCCGTTCGGGATGGATTTCCTCAAGTGATGCAGAGAACACAAGCAGGGGTGCAGCTAACTGTGCTGCTGCGCTGTCGAAAAGGAGCCACCTGCGAGTTACGGGCCTTGGTGCTGTTGCCACCAGGGTATCACCAAGACGGCAGCGCCCGAGGCCTGGCGTGTGCCTTGGATCTGACCTGCAACCTGGTCTTGCTTCAGAGGAGGGTGTTTGGATGAGATTTATATTCGTGTTTCTTTCCCTGTATCCTAAGGGCTTTGTCACACAAAGCTTGCTAATTGGCTTCCCTGAGCAGCAATTCACAGAAAGTGCTGTCTGTGTGTAAAGTGGCTAAATTCGAGCAGATTAAAAACACTTCATGAGTCTGTTAAAAGGAGGAGGGTATGGCGGTGCCAGAGGTTCAGATGAATGCCACACCCAGCAGCCCAGTTTTCCTTTAGGCCTGCAGCAATGTGAGAGACCAGCGATGCTCCCTGCGCGTCCTGGCGGGATCAAAAGCTGCAGCATTGAAAATGCAGGCGTGAGCCTTAAGCGTTCAGGAACCCCTTGGATGGTGAACTGTTTCTTTTTGGGGCCAGCCCTCCCTCTGGATTTCTGAGCACCCAGTCTGAGTCCGGCGTGTTTTCCACGCTGTAGGTAACTCCAGGCTCTTGCTGTCTGTCCTCTGCATACGTCGGAGAGGGCCAGCACAAAGGGGCAGCGTGGCAGCACAGCTGAGCGAGTGTCATCTGCTCATTTAATTAGCCAGTAGACATGCAAAGTCTGCTCTAAGACAGTCTTCTGTTCCTTTCCCCATCACCCATCCAAATATCACATCACACCATTTTGAATGTGACATCTTTGGCGCAGGGACTGAGATACCCAGCAGCAGGTAGATTATGTGCTTTCGTTCTCATGGTGGCTTCTGGGAGTGACTGCACTAGGGAGAATTTTCTTTTTTTTTTTTTTTTTTTTTAATGCACTGTCCTTCAGCCCCATTTGCTTCTGAGCAAGTCCCAACTGTACATTTGTCACCTGTGTTGGCCTCTCTGGGGTCACCCCTTGCAACTAGGAGAGATGCCAGTGTTGCATGAGCAGATGGGTGGTAGGGTCTGGGCAGCAGCTGTGCCCCCAGGTCGGCTCCTCTTTAGCGCTGGAAAATCCCCAGTGCGAGCAGTAGCTCAGGCCGGCGTGTTACCTGGGAGAGGTGAGCAGACCCAAAAGCTTCCATACATGATCTCGCCATTAGAGAGAGACAAAGACTTGCGCTGCATTATCGGATGGGCCACTCTCGCCGCCTAATGAGAGCCTAAATTCCCATTGTCCCCACAAATTCCCCAAAGGTGATTTACCACTTGAATTATACCATAATTACATATTATCAGCAGTCACTTTATGGTAAAGCTGAAGGATTAAATGCAGTTAGCAGTGATGAATTCCAGACGTGCAGGACAGAAGCCTGAAGAGAAGGCCAGCCTCTGAGTAACTACAAGATAGAGTGTAATGTATTCTAAATATTTGATTCAATTAAGCTTCCTTCTGCTCTTTGTTTCAGCTTACAGATGGCTCATCAATCTATAGTTTAGGGACACTTTGCTATTCTTTCTAATGGTAATTACGTGATCAGGATGGAGACAGGTTTGATTAAATGCTCATGCTATGCTCTGCATATTTAAAATGGAGCAGAGTCCAAAGCAGAGGCAAAAATGCTGGCCTGCTGCACGCAGCTTCAGCCTCAGGCAGTCCATAGGTCTTCCTCTGGCATAGGTGACGGCGACTTTGCCAGTTCCCACCATCCAAGGAATGGCAGTTTTTAAATCCATGAGCTGTGATCGTATCTGGTTTTGAATGTTGCTAAACTATTACTTGACAGTTTCTTGCAAGAATACTCTGGGTGCTCACCCGTTTTTAGCTGTGCTTTACTGAGAGGATTCTCACAGCTTAGTAGCAAAACAGTTACAGAGTCTGTGATCGATCTTCCAGTGATTTCTGGGTGTTTGGGAAAGGCCATCATGGTACTTCTAGGTCAGGGTGTGTATCTGTAACAGCTTGTAGCTTGCTCATGATTATCAGCTTAGAGCCTCTGAAAGCAGGAATATTTAAGAGGATGCCCTAGCTGTTAGTGTCCCATTTTGTGTTTGTAAGCCTTACAATTTTTTGTTATCTACTTAAAAATTAAAATTGTAATGTAGGACATGGCCAGAAGCTTGGCATGCAAATGTATCTTGTATGTTCCTTTAGCCACTCCATCTGAGAGCTATTACAGCCATTAAGACTTTACTAAGGTGTTATTTCTTTTACGCAGATAAGAAAATTGAGGCACGCAGAGGTTTGAAGCTCTGGGGGTATAACTGTACCCAGAAAAAGAAATTGAGCAGGCTTATCCTCTATTTAAAATCTCATTGAAGGGCCATACGCACCTTGTCCTGGCCTTCTCCCAGGCATGGATTTTACTTCACAGCAGCCAGTCCTCAATTCAGCAAAGTACTTAAGCACATCCTGACGCGCTCTGCTGAATCAGGGTTTTAAGTGGAAGTGACAGAAATAGAACTGAGATCTCCTCACTCATAGCCCCGCTCTAAAACCACCCGGCAACGCTTCTCTTCTTCACAGCTCTCCCATGAGTGTCTGAGACAGGCAAGACCTGTGCTCTGAACGTCTGCGCCTTAGCAGAACCCAGGCCACCCAGTTGAAATTTCAAAAATGTGAGCTGAGTAGCTGGTTCTAATTAGTTTGAGACTTGAGATCTCTGTCCCCCAGTGCCTTGAGCCATTCAAGTGCGTTATTTAATCAAACGGAGGAAGGATTCTCTCAGCTCTGATACAGCTTCCCTACAGGAGGCCAATGAATCCAAGCCACCTTCTTATCAATATACATATGATACCCTTCCAATATACTAATCCCCCAAAACAGTAGCCAGTGGAGCTTTTGCCTGTAAAATGCTAGTTTTGGTTTCTCGATTAATTAGGTTTCCTCTGTAATAAGAATTTCAGGCTGAAATGGAAAGCCCTAAAAATTAGTTATTACTATTTGTCATTAGGTGGATTCTTATTCTCTAGCTCAAACAGAAAATGCCTCCTGCTCCCTGAAGTCTCTTTCACTGGTCCCAGGTAAGGTGAGCTTTTTCAATGCCTACTTTTTGATGAAAAATTTTATAGAATGCATCAGGATGAAACAAGGGTAATGGATGACAACAGCAAATGAAGTTAACTCGCAGTTAAGAATACCGTAGGAAAAACTCTTTCCTAGGGCATGGAAAAAGCATCATTTTGTTACATGCTGCCTAGGGAAGGGAATCTCTGCTTGCAATAATTGTTTGAATAGCCAGTAAACAGCTGTATTGCATCCTGATACAATCATAATTTTCCTTCTGTAGACTTGCCACCAATGCCCTGTGCTTGCAAGTTTCTAGGAAACAGGCACCTAGCAAGTTGCTTCTTTGGAGGGCAAGTGACAGAGAGGGAGGAAGGGGGAAGAATTGTTTTGGTTTTCTTCTTGCTCATTTGCTCTTCCTCATTCTGAATTCCAAAAAACCTACTTGCACTGTCACATAGGTTAAAGAAACCCAGTCCTTGCACACAGAGGTTTTAGGGAGTGCTCTGTATTGGAAATCCCGTTTGTCCTTTGACATGCTTTTAAAGACAACTTTTTTTTTCCCCCAGGTTGTGTATATTTGAGGCTTCTTATGTAGTAGCCTTCAAGGATCATCAGTGACTTTCAGTATCATTAGTTTGAGAAGACTAGCAATCTCCTTGATGTACGCTTCATTAAAAATCCATTTTTCTATGTTAGCTTTTAGCATTAGTAAACTCCACTTCTTTTCCTTTTGACGGTAGGACTAATTATTCTGCTACTCAGTAGCCTCTCTTAGGACAGAAAATTACTTTGCTGTATTGACTCACTTGGAACTCAGTCATTCCCCAGGGGGCGATTTTTTCAACCTCTGTCTTACAATGACAACTTCACGTAAGTTTATTTGCTTTATTACAATTAAAATAAGAAACCATAGTAGACCTCAAGATGTCTCTCTTCTCAACTTAGCTGCCGTTAGGATCCTGCTGCTCCTACTTTCCCAGGCTATGCTATCCAGTGGAGTTATAGGTTAAATAACCATTTATTGATACTGCTCCACCTGCATTTTTCCTCATGATTTGATGCTGCTCGTTGTTTCCCACCTGCTGGGCTTCCTCCAGTTACAACTTGAATGCTAATGTGACCCCATCCCCCATTGGGAGCATGCTGATGTTCACTCGTGCATCTCTGAGGAGCTTCTCGTTGAGGTAGTGGATGCTCTGGGTTGCCAAGTCATCCTTTCTTGGGTTTAGCACCCTTCCACTCCAAAGGACCTATTGAAAAAAGAAATGTCATGCAACTCATTTGTTCCAGTATGTTCCCTGGACCACAAAGGAAGTTTTGGAAAAGGTCCTGCGTATTTTCTAGAAATTTGTATTACTTAATGTATTTCAGATTTCTAACGGTCTCTGACATGGAGCTCTCATGAGTGAGTGGGATTAGGAGTCCACAGAATTGGCTAATTGTACTTCTATTGCAATTTAGAAGCCAAAATAAAAAAAGTGGGATTAAACATAGGTATTTTTAAAAGCCCCTATTCAGCTGCCACCATAGCCCTGAAGGTGCCTGAAGTTTAATATCATTGTTTCTAGTAAGAGTTATTAATTTATAACTTACTAGTAGTTACTGATTACAGGTGCTACCTTTGATCTTGCTTAAGTACTGTACATAGCAGAAAATGCCCTACAAGACAAATCAGAATAATACAGAGTGTTCTTTGTAATGACTACAAAAAAATTGATAAGTTTCTGTTATCACAGGCTGTTTAGGTACTAACATAAATTTAACACATTACTTTTTACTTCTATAGGGTTTTAGTCCTTGCTTGTATAAGTGTTCCATATAGCTTACTCTAGGAACGTATGCTGAATTTTAGAAGCCTCCTTGTTTAACATGAAACAGAGATGTTGCAATTGGCAACTGAGTTGCAGGTCAGAAATCACGTTACTAGAATCCCGCTCTGACTTTTTTTTTCCCTTTCCCAGAGGCAAAAGCATTAACTCCCTGTGCTACTACCATTACAACTGCAGTACTTACATTATCAATAGCTATTATTCCCCCTTTCTTTATGAGGCGCAAACATTTTTCATAGTACTCATTGCAGCTTTCTTTATCTGCGTCAATGAAAGCAAAGTCAAAGGTTTCCGCTTCTCCGCTGGCCAGCAGTTCATCTAGATGAGCAACAAAGGGAGTCGTTACGCCCTGGTTAATGCTGTGTAGGAGGAAGTCACCCATTTGTGTCAAAGTTCTCATTAAATAATGTTTTGGTGCCTTGACCAGGCAGCCTATTCCTCTACAGGTAATTACTAGAAAAGCTTGTCCCACAGAAACCAATCTAGATATGATGTATGCCATAAAAGACTCAGTTACTGAGTTCTGCCTGCTTGGAAGTTCATGGAGTAGTTGTAAACCTGCAGGATGCAGCTGGGGCTGCTGAAAAGCACAGTGAAAACAAGCCAAGCAGTGTGAAACTGGACACACTATACACCTTCAACTATTTTTTGAGCTGATAGAGGACAACTGTTCTCTTAAGTGGATGAGGATTTTTCTCACATTTATGAACACGTCCTAAATGCTGATCTCTCGTCGATGATCGAGTGCATGATACAGGTCATGAACAAACCCCATCAGAGATCAGGAAAAGTTGGTCAAGGCAAGCAGAATTCGGTTTTAAGTTCTCCTGAATGGACTTCTTGACTGAGAACTCCAAATCGCCAGTTGTGGAGGTGCTGACTGCTGGGTTCTCGGGCACTCCTCTCACCTGCCCTTATCCTCTGTGAACAGAGGATCTTTTTGTCTGAAGCATTGCCTAGACAAAGCTGTCCATCAGACTTCAAGGACAGCATGTCTGAGCAGACTGCTAATATTTGCCTCTTTAGAAAGGATGGATGAATTTGGAAGTAATACAAGGTGATGGATGGATGCGTGGGTCCATCAAACATCTCTCCTGGAAAACTTCTTCTGCCGCCTCCGTTCCTAGAAAATTTCTTGCATTTTCAGAATACTTATTAATAGTCCCTCTGCCCCACATCCCTTTTCTGGAGTGAGAAAAGTCACTGCCTTTCTAATGGCTTTGCATGCTTTTGGCACATCCTAAATTTGAACTGCTCTGGACATAATTCAACTGTTATACCCTAAGTTTTATATTGGCTTCTGTATTTTTTCTGCACCTCAGCTCTTTCAGAAAACTCTTCGTGTCTGTAACAAAGAAATACTTGCTTAGAATGGAGAATGGATAAGAGAAATTGGGCTTTGTCTAATTAATCTGTTTTAATCAGCTTTCCCAGAAGCAGCTGACAATAGTACTTCATAGATTAAACAAGGCGATGGACAGGACAGGAGAGCGACCGGTACAGCTCGCCACACAGGACAAGCATTTTCTGCCTCTCTGCTAGCATGTAGGAAAACTGCGGGTCACATCTACGAGCATACTTGGTCTTAATTGGTGTAATATCCGACTTTTATTTCTAGGGAAGGGAAAAAAAAGTATTTTAGGTTACTCACCAAGTGTTTGAATTGCTGGCTTAATCCGCAGGTCAATTTTATGCTCTACTCCTGCCTGGAATGAAAAAGAACAGAGTTGATGACAGTGGTCAAGAAAAAACTTGTTAGTAGGTTGCACTCAGGGAGTGACTGGTGTTCTGACATTTTTCCTGTTATTTCTAGGTTCCAGACAGCACTTATTTGTCTTTCCAGATTGAACTGTCTCAGCCTCCTTTAATGATAGGAACGCTTCTGTGCGAATGTGCAAGTCTAAGATACCAAAATCCCTTGATATGCCAATGCAGTCCAAACATGTAACAGAAGAGATGCTGCTTACCTCTTTCCACAGTGGCTTTCCAATCTTGACATTGTCCTCATTTATATCACAGGCAATAACTCTGCCATTATCTGGTAGGACAAGTGCCATATTCAAGGTATTATAACCTGTGAAAACACCTAGGAAAATCACAAAAGCCATCAACACTTACCATATTATGGGAAGGGGGGAAAAATAGAGAATGACAGGGCTTTGTTCAGGAATAAAAACCCCAGAGAGGGCAAAGATGGCAATTTGTTAATGGACACAAAGGGTTTTCCCCTCCATTTTAGTGTAACGGTGGGTCAGAAGGATTTTTTTTTTTTTTTAAATCAATCTTTTAGCAAAGCTTAATGTTGGCTTTTTCCAAAAGTCTCCTGGACACACAGGGCAGAGTCTGGTCCTGCATCTCTGAGGAACACCCTTATTTGAAAGTGGAGCTAAATCCTGAGCCAAAGGGTCTGGACCAGCAGCAAAATACCAGGGCATCCTAATAGCCAGGCCAAGAACGAAGGTGGTGGGAACCCATACCTGGCTGTTCAGCGTCAGTCTGGCTCTGGGACATCCTGCTACCATAGGTGCAACGAGGAGAAGGGGATTGGGTGCAGGGCCTGTGCAGCAAAGCATTTCCCTCTGGCAAGGAACTGATACAGGAAGGAAAGCATACACCCTGTCCTGTAAGTGCTGGAGACCCAAGTGATCTGTTGATCTGTTGTTTTTTTCAGGTTGCCACAGAGCTGATGAGACATCCATACTGATGCCAGAATTACTGAATGCGCGGATAGACAAAGTGGCAAGTAAGTGCAAATCAGACCCTACTTTTCACACTGTAGCTTGCTGAGACAGGTATGCAGTGCTTTAGATACCTTATCTTATGTGAACGTGGCTGTATTTGCAGCAGCGCAGCCACGACCTTTAGTCTACTACAGAGAGGACAAAGTGACACTCTTACCTATTTCAATAACTTTCTTGGCTTTAATGAGTTTGACCAAATTTGCCATGAGCTGAGCCTGGTCACAGGACACCATCATTCCACCCCGGGGGTGATCAGCAGTGAGCTAAAAGGGGAAAAAAAATAACATATCACAACGAACCAACCCCAAAGCTTCCAAAACAATATCCTAGGGAAAAAACGCAGAGAAACCCCATTTTTATGTATTTACATAAACAGATGCACCTCCTTTTTTTAAAAAAAAATTATAGTCTTTGTACTTATGCCTTACTTCTCTGAGACATGTAGGATGTTTTTATGAACTACCAGGTTAAAGTCTGTTGCCGAAGGTCAGACTGTGCGGTGCTGGCTCTGCAGGGCAGAGCTGGAGAAGCTGTGCCAAGGCCAGGGTGGGAGGGCTCCCGGCACTGAGGCAGCAGGAGAAGCAGGGCTGTGCCTAGGCAGTGGAACGGAAAGGACGGTCCTGCCCTTTCCTTTCTTCCTCTAGGGCCCATTTCAACCAGTCAGCTCCAACACTTAACAATTAATTGCTTTTATACAGGAGTACTTTGTCTCATTTGAAATGACTCAGTCCTGGGTCAGAAGGTCGGTTGTGAGCTCTGACACTGGAGGGCATCACCTCTCTGAGCTACAGTTTCCTTGTATGCTAACTAAAATGAACAGAAGTAATCGGAGTTAAAATCAAGTGCAGCCCAAACGCGTGGGCTTGGGAGCCATGGAGAAGAGGACATGTCTAAACATATGCCAGTACTATTAAGTAGTAATTTGGGTAGCCATGAACATTGAAGAGTCTGGGTACTACCAGTTCAAAACAAATTCTCAGGTGTATATTTTAGGATTTAATGGGCTGCACAACTTTGCCTTGCTTCTCTTGTGTAGGAATTGTATCCAAGGGAATGGGATTTGACCAGGATTTCTTCCAGACCAGACATGATCAACAAGTATAAATATGTGTACAGCATGGTCTCTAAGGACTGGAAATCCTTTCCGTGTACACCTAATAATGGCCTTCAGCAGTAAGTAAGATTTTGGTCTCCTCCTTGAGGTTCTGGATTACAAAACCAGCAGACAGACCTTGAGGAGCTGGGTACCTCCGTGAGGAGCAGACAGCTGTACGACTGAGGCTGCCTGTAGTCCTTCTTGAATGAGCGACTGAGTTTGTGTACTAGCCCCTCTAAATCCAGGAGTGTGCAAACAAGATGGAGGAAGGAGCGTCACAGAGTCCAGCAGCTCAGGACGAGGCGTGGGCAATACCGAAAGGGCCTAGTGGAACACTGAGCAGAAAATCTGTGTTGGGGGATAAAATACTGACCAGGCGCAGCTTCTTTAGAATTGGGTGTTCCCGCAAAGAGTGATCCAGTATGTATTGCCAGAGGGGACCGCTTTTCCCAATAATACTCTTGGGTGATCTGGGTGTCCCAAAAAGTAAAGAAGGGTATCTTTTACCTACAAAAAAAATAAGGAATAATAAGAACCTTTATCTTTTTCAGTTATTGCTCGCTTAAATAAAGCAAGCGCTTAAGTATTACTAAAGTTAAAGAGTTCTTCACTCTGAAAAATCCAGTGAGAAAGGAAAATGCGGTGTAGCTGGACAGCTAAGTAATTTTCCTCCCCTGCTTTTTAACCTCTAAGATGTCCAGCCTCAAGTCTGCAAAGGCTGAAAGGGAAAGACTTGGGTACTGTGTTGTTCAGTGGCCAGTCTGAAGGTTACAAGCTGACATGTTCTGACAGGACAAGTAACCACATCAGAACTCAAAGGGGGGGTGTAAGAAGAGAAGCATGAATGAGGCACGCTGTTTTCCTAGTCTGGGGTCCTCGTTTTGCAGAGGGATAGAGGCTGCTGGTCTTCAGGGTCATCAGCCGATAGATCTTCTCAAGCCCTGTGTTCTCCTAGCGACAGAGTCCTGCCCTCGAGCCAGGGGAAATCTGGCATTGCTCAATGGCTTGTTTAGCACAAAACCAGTGTGCAAAGAAAGTTGGGGCTGAAAGTTGAAGTTTAAGGACTATTGCTCATCTGTTAAATACAGAACTGATCTCTGCTTTGATGCCCAATGCTTCTTTTACCAAATGGGGCAAATATTTTAAAGAAATACAAACAACACCCCCCCCCTCAATTCTGCATCTCCTAATAGTTGTTTGCTATTAAATAACACTGCCATTTCGAGGTTTTAATTTTACTTCCTGCTCGTGGCTCTTTTACAGACCATCGCGCAGAGGTGCAGATGATTTCAGCAGCTTGCCAGGAGTCGAAGGGTAAGGGACACCCGCCCCACACTCCCTCTGACCCCGGGGCGTGGATGGAAGCTACCAGAAGAGAAAGCCGTGACCGGGACCCCCACCGCGACGTGGGGGTCCGAATGAACGCAGGCAGGTGCCGGGCTGGGACCGTGCCCTTGGCCCCCGACACCCCCGGCGCAGCAGCTGGATTACGGGGCAGAAATCCCGGTCCGCGAGGAGCGCGGAGGTGGGGACCCGAGGAGGGGGTAGGACCCCCACCGACCCACGCGTGTGCGTGGGGACGGGACGGGGCCGCCGCTTACCTGCGAGCATCCCTGTGGCGAAGG